AATGTGTTTGATGGTGCAGCAGTCAGTGATGTGCGTACTGTGTAAGAGCCAAGACCCGAGTTCACCTTTTCAGGATCCACGCATAGAGGCGGGTGCCTGTAACCTGTGCATTGTTGGAAAAGGGGGATACAGACAGGTGGATCCCTGGAGTTTGCGGCCCAGGAAGCCTAGCCAAATGGACGAGTTCCAGTTTAGTGAGAGACCCTGTGTGGCGGTGGTTTCAATGAGAAATGTCCATCACCAGCTCATGTATTCGAACCCTTGGCCCTTAGTCAGTGGTACTGATTAGGGAGGATTCTGGTTGGGCAGCCTTGCTGGAGGAAGCACATTGCTGGGTAGGCTTTACGATTCCACGGCCTCACCCCACTTCCAGTTCTTTGAGCTCTCAGCTCCCTGCTTCTGCCATCCTGCGGCTGCTTGCTGTCATGGCGGAGTCCTATGCCTCTGAAACCGTGAGTCAAAACAAACTGCTTCTTCCGTAAGTCCCCTTAGGGCATTGGTATTTTGTCACAGCAACAGAAAGGTAACTAATGCCTTCTGTCTCAACAAATGAAGGTGCAGAGTGATGGGGACAATGCTTGATGTCAGCCAGGGGCTTCCTCTGCATGCACTCATGTGTGTGCACCGTTCATATTTCACCTTATACTGCCATCGAGTTTTAATGATTCTCATTTGCAATGAGAATCCCTCTTTATAATAATAGTGGATTTAAAATATATCAACTTAAAGTTCATTTTGAACTTTAAATTTAAAGTATATTAAGCCGGGTGTGGTGGCTCTTAATTTCAGCACTCGGGAGGCAGAGGCAGGAGGATCTCTGTGAGTTTGAGGCCAGCCTGGTCTACAAAAAAGAGACAGATAAAGTCTGTCTCAGAAAAAAGAAAAAAAGAAAGAAGACCAAAAACAACAACAACAAACATTTTAACTATATACACTGAGGTAAGAGTGGATTCCTACAATATCCTTAAAAAAAAAAACCCATTGATTTTTAACACTCAATTTCAAATGACTAGCAATCACCTTAAAAAACAAAAATATTTTCATTACCTTAAGTCATTGAATTTGAGAGAACATGCATCTAGATGCAAATAGACCTACCTGCCTTGTGATCTTGGGCAAGCTCTCAAAGCCTCAGTCTTGTGTGTGTGTGCACATGTGTGTGGAGGTGTATGCACATGTGTGTGGAGGTGTGCATTCATGTATGAGTGTTCATTTGTGTGGAGGTGTGCTTTCATGTGTGTGTACACATGTGTGTAGAGGTGTGCATTCATGTGTGTGTGCACATGTGGAGGCCAGAGGACCGACACTGTTCGTCTTGTTTGCTGAGATAGGGTCCCTCACTGGCTAGTGAGCCCCATGGATCCACTTGACTCCCCTCCCCAGGACTGGAGTACTAAGCATGCACCTGTACCCTGGCTTTTTTCTCTTTTAGTGTGGGTTTCAGGGATTAGTCTCTGGTCCTGATGCTTTACTAATTGAGTGGTCTCTCCAGGCTCTTCAAT